GGATGCAGCGCACCCCTCATGCGACTCGCCGAATACCTCACGGCGCTTCGCGCTTGGTGACGTGTGGGCCTGGTCCGGGGAGGACCCGGCGTGCTCCGTCCCGGCTTTGTAGGGATGCGAGGTCAATGGTCTAACGACTACGGCATGCACGACTATGAGTACGAGTACACCCACTCGCGCATGTCACCGCCTTCTCTCGCTTTTTTTTATTTCTTTCTTACAATGAACAGACGAAAGCATTTATTATTTTTTTTTGCACCAGGTGTGCCAAGCGATTCGCAGCTGCAGGGGGCTTGCCAACGTCTTCATTCCAGGCGCTCCGGAGCTGGAGAAGCTGGTCGCCCCGGCAGAGGCTTGGGCGAAGGAGGCTTGCGACATGCTCAAGATCAAGGCAAGTCGTATGAATAGGTGCTGCTAACTCTAGCGATGCAGCCATCATGTGCGACAAGAGAGTGCTGCTGCGTTGGGTGTGATAGCGGCGAGGGTGGTGCCTGCAGCGATGCAACACCACGGCGGTTGTGTCTTTTGGGCGGTTCAAACCAGATTTCATGGCTTCTTTTTTTCTTTATTTTTTCGGTGGCGGAAGCAGCACCGGCACCAGCAACGATGAGGAGGTCCGCGAGGAAACACACAAAACACATCGATCGTAGAACACGCGCACCTGATGCAGATCCTCTCGCGAGGGCTTTTCGCGGAGAGGCAGCACACCTGCCTGTTGTTCGCGTTAATTCCCTCTCACCCCTGCTGGTCTAAATAGCTCGCCTGCGTCAGTTGAAATATCGAGCTCGACGCTAGGCGCGGTTGCCCAAACCCTCGGGCTTTTGAGTACTACTGCTGTGCCATACAATTAGCTGTTCGTGGCACTCTGTTTCGACTCTCCTCCTACTTGTACTTGGAATCTGTAGCCTCCGCTTCTGCTTGGTTCTGATGGACTGCGGCTGTCATGGCCGTTGCATTCTGTAGGTGTTGGACCCTTCCACGGATGACCCGGCGACAGGCGGTGCCGCCGCTGCTGGTGGCAAGGTCAAGGACTGCGACAGGGACAGGGAAGGGGAGAAGGATAAGAGCAAGTGGGCTAGGCTGGGTCTGGAAGGCTCAGCGATGACCGCCCTAGAAGAGAAGCTGCAGGACGTGGCGGTGAGTGCTGCCGCGGGAGGTACGGATGCTGCTACTGCTGCTTTCTGCTGCTGCTTGTGCTTGTTGTGCTGTCTCTCACGTGCATCCTTCTTTTGTTGTTTCGTAATCGTGGAGGCTTAAAGGGAGATCCTGGGAAAAACCGTTGGATGCTGCTGCCGGGGAGCTGGCTGCCTCTGGTTGCTGTGCTATCCGACTCTCATGTCATTCTTGTTTGGTGGTCGTGGAGGCAGCAGCGATGTACCCGCTGGGTTGCCTGAATAACGCCTGTCAACCATACTTTGTCGCACTACTGTAGGGGAGTGTCGCCGCCTCTTTCCACGGCACCTTGTTCACGTTAAAGACGTTTGCTTCGTCCCCGTCCCCTCGCGCGCCCCTCTCTCTTGTCCTTTCCTTTCTTCTTTTTCCAGGAATTTTCTCTGGCCAGGGAGCAGCGCGAGGAGGAGGTCGAGAAGGAGCGTCTCCAGAGGGAGAAGGAGGACGCCAGGGAGAGGGAGAGGCAGGCCAGGCTAGAGAAGCTGGCGAGGCTCAAGGCCTTGTCAAAGCGGCGGAACGCGCCGAGGGCGGTGGGGGGGGCGAGCACAATTACAGCCGGTGAGCGGCGCGGCGTGCAGTCGGGAAGAGGAGAGACAGAGAGGAGGAGATGGGGGGGCGGGGGGTACGGCGACCGGGGCAGACGCAGGGACAGAGAGGGCGACAGATTGGACAGGCACAGGCTCAGACAACGTAGGAACACGCCGTCGGTCTTCTGCTCGGTTTGGTTTGTTGCTGCGCAATCGAGGGTGGGGGCGAGGAAAATGAGACGCCCTAGCGTGCAGCAACAAGTCCAGGGGAGATGTGCCGTATTTCCGAGCGAGTGCTGTAGGATGCGTTTTTCGACCACCACGCCGGAAATCCTAATTAAACGTACGAATCCCTCTCTGCGTGTCGCATTGCTTGCGCTACGTCGCTGCCCTTGCTTGCCGCGGGGCGTCGGTCGGTCGGTTTGCGGTGCAGAGCGCGGAGGAGGTGCGGCCGGCGATGCCGTGGGCGGCGGCTCTGGCGGGAGGGCCTCTAGGGAAGAGGCGGTTAGGGCACGCGAGACAAGACGGTCACCAAGGATCGTCAGGTGCGCCAACAAGGGGTGGGCGTACTCTTGTGTTTTGCACGCCTTAGCGGTGAGACCATTGACCAGGCGTCCTCGAGAAGAAGGAGCATTGTTCCCGCAGGACCGATCACCAATGGCAACTCGTTCCTTCCTACTTTGCCAAAGGTGGCTCAAAAATGTTTACCCTAGCCTGCGTTGTACGTGTCCTATCGATATCATTTTCCGCCTTTTCGACCCACTTCCCATGTCCCAGTACAGCTACTGTCTTCTCCTCGGCGATTCCTGCCTCAAACATCTCCCTGTATCTTCCTCCTATTTTTCCCAGCTCAGTCATGTACACTTCCCTATCCTGCTTGCACAACTGGCGTTAACACGGTCTTTGCCTTCGGTCAACAAGGGGTGGGGGGTTTACTCATAGTCGTGCATGACGTAGTCGTTAGACCATTGACCTCACATCCCTGCAAAGCCGGGACGGAGCACGCCGGGTTCTCACCGGACCAGGCTCTAACGTCACCAAGCGCGAAGCGCCATGAAGTATTCGGCGAGTCGCATGAAGGGTGCGCTGCATCCTCCTAAGGGTGTTCAGCATCTTGTGCTTAACCTCCTTGCGTACGGATGTCAGCTGCGTATGACTTCATTCATTTTCTGGTGCTTGCACCACCAGTGACAGTTATGAGCACTACTGTTTAACTTCCTCGAGGGTGCTTGAGCACTTTAACACAACGTGGTCCGATCATCCCCTTTGCGTGGAGTGAGGGTTCTCGACCCCGCACAACATAATCTGCTCCACCACCATTCATGGTTACCGCAAAAAAATAGAGGCAAGAAAACAATGCGTACCCTGGTTGCCAAGCTCACGAAGTGATCGGCTTGTTTTATAATGTCGTTGCCAGCGACGAAAACCCAACCTCAATTGCGAACACCGAGGGCGGGTACTCATGTCAACGCATGCCGTGGTCGTTAGGTAAGATAAACCTCGCTGCCCTACCATGCAGGGGCGGTGTTATGTTATCTTCGTTTATCTTACCTAACGTTTATCTGTGTTTTTTTTTCGTTTTGCTTGTCGAATGAAATTGTGCTATTGCTTCCAGGCTGGACCCGCAGGGCCAGGGGAGTGTCACGCGTGCGCAGAGTTGCCAAGTGTGGTTTTGGTGCGGTCGACGTGACGGAAACGAAAATGGTGCACTCGAGTTGGTTGGTGCAAGAAATCCGGGCTAAGAAAAGCTTTTCCAAGTAACGCCGCTCAAGTTCATCCCCACCCTTCCTTGCATTGTGAAGTTCTTCGGCGAGTAAGCACCCCCACCGCCGTTGCAGTTCACTGAGCCCCGGACGCATGATATCCCCCCCGCCCCATGTACTTACAAAAATGCATTCGACGGTGCCCCCGCAGCCTGGGTAGTAGCGGTGCACCGTCAACGGCCGACCCGGCCACGGCGCGGAAGGAGGAAGCAGAAGGGGAGGGGATCGGGGATGCGGAGGAGGCGGGTTGGACGAAGGAAGACGAGGAGGCCCTTCACTGCCTGTGCAGGCTGCCGGCGGACGCCGCTCGCTTCCGCACGCTCATGACGTGCGACCTGTGCTCAAGCTGGTTCCACCCATCCTGCGTCAGGCTCAAGGTGCACAATAGTGGCTGCTGCTGCTGCTGCTGCTGCTGCTGCTGCTGCTGCTGCTCAAGTTTTGCAGTCAGCCCTTTCTCTGTTTGTGCGTCGAAGACAGGGCAGACCAACAAACGAGTAGATGCACGCAGAGGAGAGATTCTTTCCGTCTTTTTTTTTTTTTTTTTTGCACCCGCTGCGGTATAGTGCGCGGTGGTTGATGAGTATGCCGTCCTCGCCAGGTGGGCTTTCCGGTAAGGCAAACCCCACACCATCATCCGTGCGACCTGTTTCAGCAGTACGTATTAGTGGTTCCTTGTGTGGGAGAAGGACCGGTGAAACCGCGTGAAACCAGTTGGAATTTTCGCCTTGTCTCCTTGCTCCGCATAGTAGTAGCCGGGTGGTCGGCCTGCGGCCAGTCAGTTCTCGTGGCATCATCTATCCTTGGTGCAAGGACCGCCACTGCTGCGCATGATGGACCCGACTAAAATATGATGGGTATGGCACGGTAGTGATCGCGACATACTGCCGGTTGAATGATGCCGGGTTTCCGGTAAAGCGCCGGTGAAATCGGCATTGTGTCGGGACCACCAACATAGTTGCGGTACCCTTGGTGTGCAGTGGAGGAGGGGAGTTGATCCGCCTATTTTGTTGTGTGACGAGATGGGAGATATTTCGGGGGTAAGGGAAGCGGAGCGTAGCGGGCTACGTCGGGTCGGTCGCCGTGATACCCGGAAGAACCGGATGCGAAAATCAGCCAGTCCCATTTTGATTTTAACCCAAGCATCCCAAACGACAAACAAAAAACGAGAGCCGCATCTCGGAACGATCGCAAGCAGCATCCCGAAATGCAACAACGCACGCCACGTATGGCGACAATTGCAAGAAGAATCCCGAATGAAAAAAAGCACACAAAATATCTTGAACGTTCACAAGCGCCCTGACGAAAGCACCCCGCATCTCGAACCATCACAATCGTCCCATTCATCAAGGCGAGACCCGCATGCCGAAAAGATCACAAGCAGCTCCCCAAAGGACGAAAAAGCACGCCACCATGTATGTCTCGAACGATCACAAGCAGCACCCCAATTGACACCAAGACCCGCCACATCCCTCGAAACGGCGGTGCAGGAGCTACCCAAGAGGAGCCTACGGGGGGGTTACCATCACCAGGCACCGGCTCTCGCGTTCGTGTGTCCTATGTGCGAGCACCGCAGGGGCGGCGTGTCCAACTTCGCCTGTCCTCCCTCTCCGGGTACGTACCGTACCGTACCGTACCGTACCGTACTGTACCCTACCGTAGGAGGCGTCACCGGTCGGTGTTTGGGTGATGCGTGTGGTACGATAGGATAGGACGAGCGGTCGTTCAAGCTCGGGCAAGAGATGAGTCCGCTAGATGGCTAGGATCAGATTTGTAGCTGCAGCGATGCGATGGAGAGTGGCGTGTCTTTCTTTTTTTTGAGTGACTGGAGTGGGTGGTACTCCTTTTTATCCCAGAAATAGTTGAACGGATCGAATTGAACAGTTGACGTTGTTTTTTTCGAAGGCCCGACAGGCAGCATGCTCAACAGATCGAATCGACAAGAATGCGCAAGCGAATGTGTAGTCTTCAAACGTAAACCGGCGTCAATGCCTGCCAAAATATTGTTTGTACCCGCGGCGGACTGAACTGCTGCTGCTCCACTCGGCCCTTATCCTCATATTCCGGTGTGGCAGGTTTCTACATCGGGAGGCGGATGCACCGCCCGGGGCTGTCGGAGCTGGAGACCCTCATGAGGAACGCCGACAGTCTGCCCGTTGATGGCGTGGATGGCCAAGCTTACCTCAAGTGCGTGATGATTTAGTGCACAGTCGCAGCAGCAGCAGTTGCGGTGTGCTTGCTTGCTTCGCATGCTATGCTGGCAGCATCAACGTGAGGCAGTACGGTAGTTTTTTTTCCTCTTTGCCTTGCCGAGTTGTTGGCAGCCATAGTTTCGCCTTGTGAATCTCGGAGCATGCTTGTTTTCTTACACAGCGGCACGTTGTGCAAGATTGGTTGGCCCATCCGCCATGCCGCCCCCGTGGGCGGAGCCCCTCGTTTTTTGCGTGGTTGGCACGGGGGGGAGGGCGGCTACGCTATCGAGCGCTGGCCGGGTACAACAGTCACTACCCTCGTGTTGCCTGTTGTCTTGTGCTCTCTTCTTTTGACCCGCTTAGGGACTAGGTAACCGGTTGCTCATTTTCTGTCTCTGTTGTTTGGCCGCGCTCTCTATGCTATCACAGCTACATGGTAGTCCAGGTGGTGGGTTGGAGGGACCGGTGTGAAGACGCCGTGAAGGACTTCCAGGCGTACATCCAGGGCGGGGACACGGCAGAAGCAACGGCGATGAAGGGAGGGACACCCACGCCGCCGACGCCTTCGGCAGGGCTCGTGCTTGCCTCCGCAGGGCGAAGGCTTGGGTTTGAGGCCTCTCTCGTGGAGAGGCTGGGCAGGCTGGTGTGCGAGGGGGCGCTGATCGAGGTGGTAGACGTGCACAAAGAGGTACGTGTGTTTGTGTGTGTGTTTTTTTTTTTGCTTAGACAGCGCTAGCCGGCTGGTCAATGACAACGACCTCAGCCTTACGGTGTTTGTGTGAGTGCTTTGTTTTTCGTTCAATTTGCGTCGACAGCGCTCACCTGCTGGACCAAGGTTGCGTCGGTCTTGTGGCAGTATAGAAAACGCCAATACGCTTTATAATCAAAGGATCTTACCGGTGGCGGGGGTGCAGGAGTGTTGCGTGAATGTGTATGTGTCTCTTCTTCAGCATCGACCGCGTTCCCTGGCTGACCAGCAAAGATTGGGGGAGTAGAAAGCCAGAAGTTGCGTCCGGGGACCGTTGCCAGGCCTGGTGATTTTTTCGTTTTTTGTGAGACGGACGTGCCGTGCAGCAAATAATTGTGTTTGTCCCCACCATGCTCCACGTCATTGTTTTAGTGGTGGAATGTCCAATGCGTGCCTTACACGTTGATGCTGGTCGACGTGCAGCAGCACCGGTTCAACACCGTGCCTTAGCAATAGAGATGGAGGTATGTGCAAAAAAATTGAATTCACTTGACCGCCTCTTCGACCTCATCCCCTACGCAGGACACTTGGTCCTTTTTACCCCGCCGTGTGCAACTGCGATTTCGTCAGGTTTGAAAATTGCCGCACCGATGCATCGCGCTTGTGTGTTCTGTGCGCGCCTCCTTGCCGCGCAGGACACCATGCTGCGAAGAGCCCTGTGGACCCTAACGGCCTCGCTGTGCTTTCCGAAGGCGACGTCTTGCCTAAGGCTTGGTCAAGAACCAGGTGCGTTCCCATATATGTATTTAAACGCACCGACTTTCCGCGCCCAGCGTACGAGGCTACATACTCGTCTGTTGTACGTGCAAGCCGGGTGGATCGATTCTAGATGGGGGTGTCAGCGTCGTCGCGAGAGGAGTTCGACACCGCCGGTGACGGCAAAGGCCCTGGATGGAGTGCGGCGGTGGTATGTCTCCCGCCGTACCGTGTTGTCCGGGGCTTGTGATCCGCACGGTGCGTTATAAGCCCTTGACGACGAAATCCACGCCGGTTTGATCTTACGAAGGGTCGAGGAAATGGAAAAATGACGATGCCTCCACACTACGATGTCGACTAGCACATGGCCAAGACTCTTCCCCGCTCTCGCTCTTCTGCCCCCCCCGCCCCCCCCGGTGTTTGCCATCGGGGTTGGGTTTTCGTCGCTTGGCAACGACGTTGTAAAACAAGCCAATTCACTTCGTGAACTCGGCAACCAGGTTACCGTTTTTATTTACT